TCAGGCTGAAATTGAGCAGAAGGATCACGCGGAATCTGCCTGATCCTTCTTGTCTAAATTTCCATGAATCTTCCTAATCGTTTTAGCAGCTACTGGTGATTGTAGCTTAAACTTATTTCACTAAGCGTCAGGAAAGGGTGTTCTTCAGGTTCTATAATTCCTTCTGCATTTATTAACTGGGATCCTGTGAAGAATTTTCCATTGTTAACTTTTTGGTTATCTGAAAATACAGTTTTTATGTGAAGGGGATATAAACTGCTTGACTCTTTTTCTGTATCTTTCACTTTTCAGAGTGATGAGTTGAGTTGATACTCTAGCCATCTCCAAAAGTGAGAATTTTTTTCTCTTTGTATTGTTATGAACTGATAAGTGTTACTATCCATGTAGTCTTTTTTTTAATTTTATTTTAAAAACTGACTCTTTTTTTTGTTAGTTTGGTTTTTTTGTTTTTGTTTTTTTGAGTTGGAGTCTCACTCTGTCGCCCAGACTGGAGTGCAGTGGCCGCTCCCAGCCACTGCAGCCTCGGCCTGCTGGGCTCCGGCGATCCTTCCGCCTCAGCCTTCCGAGTAGCCGGAATTACAGGCATGCGCTACCACGCCCGGCTGATTTTTTGATTTATTGTAGAGATGAGGTCTCGCTGCCCAGGCGGGTCTCGAAGCCGCGGGCTCAGGCAATCCACTCACCTCAGCCTCCCAAAGGTGCGGGATTACAGGCTGAGCCACCGAGCCCGGCTCTTTTTTTTTTTTGATGCTCAAAATTCAAAATTTTCCCCAAGGCCAGTGGGCTGTCTTCAGGTTAGCTCCTGTGCCCTCCCTCTAGCCAACCATCCATCCTGTGGGTTTTTCCTTCTCCTCACTGTCCGTCCACCTCATTGTCACTATCGTGGTCCACATCTCTGCTGCCTTTTTTTGCCCCTCCAGGAAAAATCCAGACACATCTGTGAATACACATCCGATGCTGTCATGCTTTTTTTTTTTTGAGTTGGAATCTCTGTCACCCAGACTGGAGTGCAGTAGCCGCTCCCGGCCACCGCAGCTTTGACCTGCCGGGCTCCGGCGATCCTTCCACTCAGCCTTCCAAGTAGCTGGAACTACAGGCGCGTGCTACCATGCCCGGCTCATTTTGATTTATTGTAGAGATGAGGTCTCGCCAAGTTGCCCAGGCGGGTCTCAAACCCGTGGGCTCAGGCAATCCACTCACCTCGGTCTCTCAAGGCGCAGGATTACAGGCTGAGCCACTGAGCCCGGCTGATGCTGTCATTCTTAAATTTCTGGTGTTCTCCATGGCTTTCGGCATGGAGTCCAGGCCCTTGAACCTGGACTTGAGGGCACATTCGCTATGGCTATGGCCCGACTCCTCTGCCTCAACAGCTGCCATGTTTTATCTGTAATGAGACGTTGTGGCTCTTTCTTTGTGATCCTGCCCTCTCTCCCAGGCCTCACACACACAGTTTTTTCCATCTGGGTCGCCTTCCTCTTTGACTAACTCCCTCATCTAAGGCCTTAGCTGGGGCCAGTGGTTCTCAGCCCTGGCTGCACATTGCATCGTCCGGGTAGCTTTAAGAAATATCAATGTCTGGGTTCCTCCCAAGAATAATTAAAATCCAAATGTCTGGGGCCGAGTCCCAGCTTTGGTAGTTTTCAGAGCTTGCATGGTGATTCTGATGGACGGCTGAGATTGAGAACCACAGTCTGGGGTGTTTCTTTCTCTGGGAAATGTGCTCTTGCCTCCCCTCGCCTGGGTCCCATGCTGTTTAATTCTGCTGCAGCATTCTGTTCCAACCCTTGCTTCACTGCCTAGACCTCACTGTGTTAACCCCTGGGTTTCTTCCAGGCTAGACAGAAGCTTCATGGGGTTGTGGCCGCATGGGTGTGGTTCCCCTCTGTGATTACTAAGCACACAGTAGGTGCTTGGTAATATTTGAAGATGGATGGAAAGGCAATATTTTGAGGTCCTTTGAGGGCAGAGATGGTGCCCTACTATGTGCAGGACAAAGGCCAGATTCCATTGTCTGCCGCCATCATTTCTCGGCAAACTCATCTCCTGCTCCACTGAACTCCTTCCCCTAGACAAGCAGACTTCCAGCCACCCTTCCCTTTTATCAGTTCTGTCCGAAATGGCTTTACTCCTTTTCTGCCTGCTCCCTATTCTACCTACCAAACAATTTCCTCAACTCATGAGCCACGTTTGAACTCATGAGCCTTGTGGGAATCCTTATTTGACACTTATTCATATACGTACTATGAGAATGAGTTCAAAATCATCCATTGGGGCACCTAGTTTATAAAATTTTGTGAATTTCATTCGGAGACTCTTGCTTTTGAATGGATATTAAAGCCAAATTTACTAGGAGAATAAAGTGATATCGACACTCACCTTTAAAAAATTAGTAGTAGTAGTAGTAGTAGTAGTAGTAGTATTTTGAGTTGGAGTCTCACTCCTTCGTCCAGGCTGGAGTGCAGTGTCACGCTCATGGCCACCCCAGCATCGACCTGCTGGGCTCCCGCAATCCTTCCGCTTCAGCCTTTCAAGCAGCCAAAACTACAGGCGCACGCTACCACACCTGGCTAATTTTTTATTTATTGTAGAGATGAGGTCTCGCCAAGTTGTCTGAGCTGGTCTTGAACCCTTGGGCTCAGGCAGTCCAATCACCTTGGCCTCCCAAAGTGCTGGGATTACAGGTTTGAGCCACCACGCCCGGCCTCTTAAATTGTTTAGCTTTATTTGTCCCTATGAATTCTTCTCTGAGTGAAACTTCGACTTCCCAGTTGAATTTCAGGCCACGTGTGGTCTAGGACTCATGCTCTCACAATTGCTTCCAGAAATGGCTTCAAGGACGGGATATCCCCCAAACCACCACAGACTGCGATGCTGCTGTGACTGAAGCTGGTATCGTGACCTTTGCAAGCCTGAATATGCGCGGGGAAACTTACCAGTAATGGAGGATGCTAATTAGATGATTTCTTGTAGCCCTGGTCCTGATGGCACTGGTGTCCTCTAGCTCCCTTTTTCATCCACCAGAGGGCAGTGTTCCACTCTGCCCAACAGTCGGCCCTTCTGAGGGCTTCCCTTTCGAATCCTAGCATTTTGGCTCTTGAAAGTGGATTGCCAGCCGGGCTCCGTCGCTCAGCCTGTAATCCCACGCCTTTGGGAGGCTGAGGTGAGTGGATTGCCTGAGCCCGCGGGTTCGAGACCCTCCTGGGCACTCATCTCTACAATAAATCAAAAAATCAGCTGGGTGTGGTAGCACATGCCTATAATTCCGGCTACTTGGAGGGCTGAGGTGGAAGGATCGCCGGAGCCCAGCAGGTCCAGGCTGCGGTGGCCGGGAGCGGCCACTGCACTCCAGTCTGGGCGACAGAGTGAGACTCCAACTCAAAAAAAAAAAAAAAAAAAGTGTCTTCAAAACAGTGATAAGACTTTGACTAATAGATACATGTCTTACATTGCAACCCAGTAGAGACATCCATGTGTATGTAACTCTACATATGTATGTGTGACAAAAGTTTTATAAGATAATACTTTACTACTGGCAGTATACTTTGATGTTTTCTATTCTTTCATTTAAAAAATGGTACTTATCACCACCCCAAATGAGTTCATGACTCACAAATCAGAGATTACAGCCCACAATTTGAAAAATATCACCTTACTGTTCCTTTAGCCCGATATCCTGGATAGTTATGGGTGTGCAGATGCTGGGTTAGAGAGGAGACTTGCCAGGTGTGGTGGCTCACGCCTGTAATCCCAGCACTTTGGGAGGAAGAGGCGAGAGGATTGCCCGAGTCCAGGGGTTTGAGACCAGCCAGGGCAACTTGGCAAGACCTTGTCTCTACAGTAAATCAAAAAATTAGCTGGGCGTGGTGGTGCATGCCTGTGAGTCCATCTACTTGAAAGGCTGAGGGAGAAGGATCGCCTGAGCCCAGCAGATCGAGGCTGTGGTGGCAACAGAGTGAGACTCTGATTCCAAAAAACAAGAGAGAGAGAGAGAGACTTACTCAGGTTGCTCCAAGGCTTAGAGCAGCACCTGGGATCAGGCTTCAAGGCTTTCAACTTTTTTTTTTTACTGTAGAGATGAGGTCTCGCCAAGTTGCCCAGGCAGGTCTTGAACCCGCGGGCTCTGGCAATCCACTCACCTCAGCCTCCCAAAGCGCAGGATTACAGGCTGAGCCATCGAACCCGGCTTAATTTTTTATTGGCTTTCAACTTTTAATTCATTGCTTTTTGCCCTGCACTGTACACTTAGAATTTTATTTTATTTTATTTTATTTTAATTATATTTTATTTTATTTTATGTCGAGATCTCACTCTGCCCAGGCTGGGGCACCTTCGTAGCTCATCACAACCTCAAACTCCTGGGCTCAGGTGATCCTTCCACCTCAGCCTCCCGTATATCTGGGATGACAAGTGCCTGCCACTCCTTTCTGCTAATTTTTTTTAATGTTTTATTTTGTAGAGACAAGGTCTTGCTATGTTGCCCAGGCTGGTCTTGAACTCCTGGGCTCAAGCAATCCTCTTACCTCTCAAAGTGCTGGGATGTCAGGTGTGAGCCACCATGCCCGGCCTAGAATTTTCATACTGGGTCTTGGTGATCCCTGTAACATAACTATTGAGACACATCCAGTGCTCAGGCAGGTGACCGCCACAAGAAGATGTGCGTGTGTGGATGCGTGGTTGTGTGTGTGTGTGTGTGCATGGGTACTGTTCCCAAGCCTCATGAACAGCACACTGGAATATAAGCTCAGCCACTGATGGTCAGATCCAGGCTGGCCTCTGAAAGCAAAACCCTATGGACTCCTGCCCGTGCATCCTCCTTGATGATTTCTGTTCCCTCGTTGCATGGGAGACCTGCCCCAGCAGTGGTTTGTTCGATAACCCAGAAACCAAGCATTCACTCCATCAGCACATTATGCAAATTAAATAGGCAAGGAGTCCCTGTCACTGTTAAAGGATCTGCTCCTGAAATAAGGATGTGGGTTTTCATGCAGTCCCATCCCTGTTCTGTAGAATGCCTCCGGGAAGACTTTTGAGATCAACTACAGCCGGGACCGCTTCCTCAAGGATGGCCAGCCGTTCCGCTACATCTCAGGAAGTATCCACTATTCCCGCGTGCCTAGATTCTACTGGAAGGACCGGCTGCTGAAGATGAGGATGGCAGGGCTGAACGCCATCCAGACGTAAGCAGGAGGGCTCGGCTCGGAACACCCCCCTGGAGAGGGAATGCGACTGCATTACTCAGGGCAGCAATTCCATTTCCCAGAAAGGGGTGCTGGTCCAGTGTGATGTTCTAGGAGGGGCTTGTCATGAGCTAGACTGACCCTCCTTCAAATGGTTAACCACATCTTTCCCATTTTGAGTTTTGGCACCAGACATTATCAATAAAGATCAGCTTTAAAAAGGGCAGAAGGGGCTCGGCGCGGTGGCTCACCCCTGTAATCCCAGCACTCCAGGAGGCCAAGACAGGAGGGTTGTTTGAGCCCAGGAGTTTGAGACCAGCCTGAGCATAGTGAGACCTCATCTCTACCAAAAATTAGATAGGTGTGTTCGGACATACCTATAGTCTCAGCTACTCAGGAGACTGAGGTGGGAGGATCGCCTGAGCCCAGGTGGTGGAGGCTGCAGTGAACTGTTATCATGCCACCGCACTCCAGCCTGGGAGACAGAGTGAGACTCTAACTCCAAAAAAAAGCAAAAGGAAGTAACAATGATTGAGTGCTTACCAGGTACGGGATACTTTACACAAATGATTCCATTTATCTGAAGTCAGTATTACTGTTCTGTGAAATTTGTCCAAGGGTATATCTTTGGTCAGAGGTCCAGCTAGGATCCGAACATAAGCATAGACAGGTAGGCAGCTATAGCATGAGGTAGGATTGTAGGCAGCCATGGCATCTTCTCAGCTTCTGGGTCGTAAGGGTGGAAAGGTATGATACCTTTCCTCACCTGCCATAAGCATCACAGCTGACACTCCTATGACAAAGACAAGTTAACAAGAGAAAATCATAACAGACTTATTTAATCAAAGTTTTGGTGACGTGAGAGCCTTAAAGAATGAAGACCCACAGACCCAGGGAAAACTGGTTTTATGCTTAGGGTCAATGAAAAATGAACAGCTGCACAGAATGTGATTAGACAAAAGGGTCTGGTCTAGATTGAGGGAGAAACTCCCCAAGGCCTGACTTTTTTTTTTTTTTTTTTTTGAGTTGGAGTCTCACTCTGTTGCCCAGACTGGAGTGCAGTGGCTCTCCCACCCACCGCAGCCTCGACCTGCTGGGCTCCGGCGATCCTTCCGCCTCAGCCTTCCGAGTAGCCAGAATTACAGGCACGCGCTACCATGCCCGGCTGATTTTTTGATTTATTGTAGAGATGAGGTCTCGCCACATTGCCCAGGCAGGTCTCGAACCCGTGGGCTCAGTCAGTCCACTCATCTCAGCCTCCCAAAGGCACGGGATCCCAGGCTGAGCCACTGAGCCCGGCTGGAATTCTCGTTTCTACCACCTGCCTTGGGGAAGAGGAATTCTGGTTTCTATGACTCACTCTAGGGGGAAGACAGAGATGGGATTCAGGAGGGCTGGAGAAGATCAGAGAGAAAGCTTTGTTTCTGCGGCCTTCCAGTCTCCTTTAGTTCAAAGCACTCAGGATGGGCTGGACTCAGTGGCTCAACCTGTAATCCCAGCACTTTGGGAGGCCGAGGGGAGTAGATAGCCTGAGTCCACGGGTTCGAGATCAGCCCGGGCAACTTGGTGAGACCTCATCTCTACAATAAATCCAAAAAAATTTAGCCAGGCGTGGTAGCACACGCCTGTAGTTCCAGCTACTTGGAAGGCTGTGGCGGAAGGATCGCCGGAGCCCAGCAGGTCAAGGCTGCGGTGACCGGGAGCATGCCACTGCACTCCAGTCTGGGTGAGAGAGTGAGACTCCAACTCAAAAACAACAACAACAACAAAGCACTGGATGTCAAGGTCCCATGCTTGGGAGTATTGTTTTCTGAGCCCCAATAGGGGAATAAGCCTTGTCTTTCCGTAGATTTCTGAAACCCAGTCTGTCTTTGTGGTTCTGCTGGGTAATCGTATAACCTCGGGGCATAGAATTTCCCCAACAGTTATCTCTCCTCATCTCTTCTACTATTGCCGAGTGATTGGGAAGCAAGTGGGGTGGCTGGCCACTCTGGTTTTTGCAGTGCTGATATAGATTGCTGATAACTTTTCAAAGATAAAGAGCAGGAAAACCCAGAGGCAGATTCCAAAGATAGCTAGGGAGAATCCATTATTCCGATTCTAAGGCCATTGGCTGAGTGAACTCAAGTTCACGTGTTTATAATTTTGACTCCAAATTCTGGGAACCAAGACTGTTTCTTGAAATCATGGGATCATGGAAAGAGGACTAGAGCCAGGGTCTTTGTGATGGGAATGGGTGGTTTCATATGTAAATGTATGTCCCTGGCTGTAGGTAGCCAGGGGAGCTGGTAGGAGATTTTGTCATTGTTAGAGTCACACTCCCAGAGGGGTCTCCTGAATGTTAGGCCTGCTGGGGGTGTGGGTGTGTCTGGTGTGCAATCTGATGCCACATGAAAGATGCAAAGAATTGCACAGAATAGATTAGAAAATAGAGTTTATTTAGAAAGTAAATTAGAGAGAGAGAGGAAGGAGATTCACCTTCCCAAGGAAGGGGAGGGGGGCCCAAAGCTTAAGAAAATGGCCTGGCCACAGCTCAAAGAGCACATGGCCACACCATAGCTTAGCAAGGCAGTGGCAAAATGGCTGCTCGTGGTCGAGTCCTTTTAACTATTTCCCTTGGATGGGAAAGGTCATTAAGGTCATTGGTGGTTGTCTGTTCCACATCATCACGAAGGGGCAGGTAAGTGCAAGTACTAACGTCAGGTGATAGATAGCTTGCATATGAAAGAATTAGTCACATGATTGCTGCCGTGGTAACAAGGGGAGGAGTTTTCCCTGCAAGAGACCGGTCAGACGTTTCCAATCCACAATCTTCTTTTGCCAAAAGGTGGTCTTATTATTTCTATGGCTTCAGCCAGCTAGGAGGCCTGAAAGTTTCTTAGAGATGATTGTGCTAAACCATGAATTAAATGGTTGGGCTGTTGGGCTGTCCTGGTCTTGCATCTGTTGTCGATTTGCCAAGGGAGTGGAGTAAGCTAGCATCTTGGCCTACAGTCGAATGAATGCTTTCTAAAACCTGCCTAATGAACATGTATCTATCTGTGTCTAACCTGTGCTAGATTCAAAGCGTGTCAGGGGTAAAGTCTAAGCAAAAATGGTTATGCTGAGGCAAAAAGACGGCGCTAAACTAAGATTATTCTAGATTTCTGTAGGTACCTCCTTTTAGTCATTTTGTTTCCTGCCACATAATTCCTGCCACGTTTTTTGTCAGAGAATGTAGGGCTTGGAGATTTTTCCTACTGTTTTTTTTTTTTTTTTGAGTCAGAGTCTCACTCTGTCACCCAGACTGGAGTACATTGGCACACTCACGGCCATCACAGTCTTGATCTGCTAGGCTCAGGCGATCCTTCCGCCGCAGCCTTCTCAGTAGCTGGGGCCACTGGTGTGCACCACCATGCCTCGCTAATTTTTTTATTTATTATAGAGATGAGGTCTTGCCAAGTTGCCCAGGCCGGTCTTGAACCAGTAGGCTCAGGCAATCCTCTCACTTCAGCCTCCCAAAGTGCTGGGATTATAGGTGTGAGCCACCGCACCTGATTTTTCCTACTTTTATTACAAATTGTTTTTCTAAGAATAAATATATCTCTTAGTACTTTTTAGCAAGATCTTTTTTTTTCTTAAGCTTGACACGGGCATATATATGAGGGGGACCCCCAAAAAACCCATAATTTATTTATAAAAAATTATGTATTTATTCTTACATGTTTAAATTTCAGTCACCTCTAAAGTGCTCATCATTTGATGCAATACACCTATTGAGATGCTTTTTCCACTGCTCAAAACAGTTTTTGAACACATGAATTTGGATGCCTTTTAAGTGCTTTTGTACTTTTGTTTCATCTCTTCCACATCAGCAAAATGTTTCCCTTTGAGGACTTTTTTTTTTTTTTTTTTTTTTTTGAGTCGAAGTCTCACTCGGTCACCCAGACTGGAGTGCAGTGGCTGCTCCCGGCCACCGCAGCCTCGACCTGCTGGGCTCCCGGGATCCTTCCGCCTCA